CTCCTGCGGGAGATATAACTGCTGATGCTGTGCTCCCGCACCCGCGCCCGCACACACACACACACACACACACACACACACACACACACACTCGCCCTGTGCTGAAGATATGCTGATGACGTGATGGTGATGAAGTGACGATGATGTCCAGCGTGTGGTGGTGGTGGTGGTAGCAGAGGGGGTATTGGAGAGAGGGAGGTTGTGGCAGGAGGGGGTTACGGGGAGAGTGGGGGATGCTGGTCGCGCCCCTGCTGGAAGCTGCTGCGCTGCTGCTGCTGCTGCTGCTGCTGCTGCTACAAGACTGCTTTGGCCTGCTGGCCTTAAACACTGCCTCTGGTTTTGTTCCGGTGAAAGAGAAACACTTTTTTTCATAATTTTTCCCCTGTATCTCCCACATTCCAGGATGTGGTTCTATGAAGTCCAGCTTTGCCGATCAATACGGCTGGACCAACCAAATGGTATGTGTCGTCCGGATCTCCTACTGCTGGCCTCCGGTTCCTCTCTCTTCCAGCCTTCTAGCGCAGCTTCTACACTGCGCATAGAACTTTCACGTTAGATCTCATTAAATACTTGCAAAAGTCTGCTGTATGCTTTCAAAATTACGCGAGTGGCTTTGAGACAGACCTCGCTTTAACGAAACTAAAGCCATAGCCAGAGTGGTAGGATCGGGACGCGCGCCCTCAAGCTGGAGGGCCCTTGAGGAAGCCGGTGTGCGCTCCATGGAAAAACAACATAGCCGTGACAGCAGCAGCACCAGCACCGCCCCAGCCACACCACTACCACATGCCACACATAGTCCAGCTTACACTCCATTTCTAGAAGCCTGCGAGCCATCCATCACCACTGCTACTACTGCCACAGGCCGAGAAAAATGAGGAAAATTGGTCGTAGTTTCTTTTTCAGGATCCTCGAGCCGTGCAATCTGGACCTCGGATGGCCGGATCGACGGAGAGAGAGAGACGGAGAGAGACCGTAGTGAAGGTCCTTGCGGGGCCACTGGCGGAAGTCTTCCCGCTGGTGCTGCAGTAAATTCGAAATACATGCAGCGTAGCCGCCACCTCAATACAGTTTCAGAATCTGCCAGTTTAACACAGATTTTATGTGTTTTTACGAATGCAACAAGGAAAAAGATACCGGTTGTGAGGGGGTTACGGTAGAGGGAGGAGGAGGAGGAGGAAGAGGAGGAGGAGGAGGAGGAGCAGCAGCAGCAGCAGCAGCAGCAGCAGCAGTAGCAGTAGCAGTAGCAGACCTCACCGCCTCACCCACGAAACATCTTCGTGCACTTTCAAAGGCCAAACCAAGAAAAATAAACACCCTCGAGTATCTAGCCCCGTCACTGTTATCACTCCCGGCTCCTGTACAGTTGTGGCATGAATGCATAACGAGGGATTATCTAGAGGCCGGTCACGTTCACTCCACTGCCACAGTACACCGAATCACAAAAGTTTTAAATACTGGAAGTCACAAGTTCACAGCTGCTCTGAATTACTGCAAATACCGGGCCTTTGTTGCCTCCCTGCTGCCTCCGACCCCAGTCTTGTGTGATCCACTTCTAAGAGCTGCAAGAGTGCGAGACTGGAATACCAATGAGAAGTTTTACTTTCAAGAGCAATTGCTTTATTTTCCCCCGTGTAATTTTCACAGTGATAAAGCAAGTTATGAAGACAAAGTCCATCCTCTTTTTTTTCCTTCACTTTAACTGATTACGTATTTAAGCAAGCGTCTCGTGAGAACCACTAGTGAATGCACACTCTCCCGGCCCCGTGTTGCCCTAAGTAATTGTAGAGATCTAAGTGAAGAAGAAGAAGAAGAAGAAGAAGAAGAAGAAGAAGAAGAAGAAGAAGAAGAAGAAGAAGAAGAAGAAGAAGAAGAAGAAGAGGAAGAAGAAGAAGAGGGCAGTGACTTGGGTGAGATAAAGCCAGACGTAGGCCCGAGCATCTTGATATTTCCTTGGTTGGAACCAGTATCAGGTGAGCGTCCTTGAGGTGTCAACTGACTGTCAGTGGTGGTAGTGGTGGTAGTAGTGGTGGTGGTGGGAGGCTCTCTTGTGAGTGTGTAGGGCCGCCCACGCCCTAGTCAAACCTACCATATCCCAGGTGAGAGGGTGACTTGGGCCTTCCCTGGTAAGACTGCCTGAAACTCCCCCCCCCCTTCCCTTTCACTCAACAGAAGCGGGGTTTTTCGGGGGCCCTCACCACACGGGCTTTGTGTTCTAGACCTCACTCAGCAGGGGGCGGTGTTCTAAACCCTCACTCAGCCCGGGCGTGTGTCTAGCCCTCACTCAGCAGGGGCGGGGTTTTTCTAGACCCTCTTTCAGCACGGGGGGGGTTTTTTCCCTCACCACCGGGCATGGTTCTGACCCTCATCACAGGGGGCGTGTGTTCTAGCCCCTCACTCAGCACGGGTTGTTCTGACCCTCTTTCCGCAGGGGGCGGTTTCTGACCCTCCCACAGGGCGTGTTTTTTCGGATCATCACACACAAGAGCGTGTGTTCCAGACC